TTATCTTGAAAAGGTAAAGGGTACCATTCCTCCATTACCGCTAGTAGTCTTTGCCTATCCTGAGAAGGAAGCCTGTAAAAAAGAAAATACAAGCAATCGTTATTCCATTTGCTAATGAAAACTAGTAATGTTATTGTTTATACCTGTTATTATTGGTAATAAACCGTTCAAAATATTTCACAAAGTGTAAGTCCTGTCGAGGAAATATATTTTCATATCCTTTGGCTACCTCCAGGGCTTCTTTATAATATCCTTGTCGCACAAGAATGAAGATATGCCCCCATATTGGAATATTGTCCACCATCTGTTAAAAAAATATGATAATTAGTATGTGTGAATAAATCTTCTTAAGTAACGTACATACTCGTAAACCTGTTGTTGGAATGCCTCCATTCGGCCTATGTATTGCACGCAAAACAGCGCGTGCCATGTTAGTTGCAGATGGTTGTCCACCCAACATGGCTTCATTTCGAAACGAGTTTACGTAAGCGGTGGACCATTCTCGATACCTTGAGTTAATGATACGAAATGAATTTAAGGGGAAAAAAAAAGCTAAGATATATAATATATACGCACGATTCCTCTAAATAATGTTTAGCACCATTTATGAGGTCAAAACAAAGACTTTTATACACAGTATTAAAAGCTGGTTCTTGATATGCTGGTGCGAACTGACGCTGCTTTAATGGATTGCGTTTAAAACTGCCATCAATGACATTAAATTCCCCAACAATAGATGCAAGTGCCCGCCAACATTGAACTATTTTTTTCCCCTAACGAACGTGAATTAATAAACAGATTATTTAAGAGTTTGCTGTATAATCGATTTCGTAATAATTCTTTGATTGCTACATACATAATCCAAACTGATCTTTCTCGCAGCGTTGTGAAATTCATTTATAATGCCATATTCAATCTTTGCCAACCTAGCATTATTCAATTTTACAACAACATCAAAATAGCCCAAATATTTCTGATTTAATTGTAAAGTTGACTCATTTTTAAATGATATTCTTCTTTCTCCTGAAGTGATATAAGATGGTTTCTTGCAGTCAAAAAGAATAGCAATATAAGTCAATTCATATAATTTATCAAGAAATAAAAGGTATACATGTTAAATGCCAACCAAAGTCGAAGCCCTAAAACTGCTTGATAAAGATGCACTTGGTGAGAATTGACTTCGAAATACGCTACTCCCAGCACTACTTGGAAGTTCTGTTGATCTCATTGTTATGTGTTGGCCAAATTCTTCAAACACCTTCCTCTTAGTTTTATCCCACTCTGAACTTAGACAGCAATCGAAAAGAGCGTTATATTCATTGTCAGTCTAAATTAAGAAATAATTAAAAGTGCATAATATATGAGCATACAAATAATAGTGACAATCGACCTATTATTATAATTGTATGTATAGTAAAACTACTTGTGTATAACCATCCTTTATAATACTTGTGATCGTTTGTTGGTGTTTGTGGTCAAGATATCTCTGGTAACAAACGAAAAAAAAAAAGTCGTCAACTAATAGAAATCACAATATTAACCTTATTTATTCGACTGGGACATACCTCAACATCGGTATCAAGCAAAATGGTGCGTGGCTCGAAAGCACCTAATACGGAGATACTTTTTACATCTTGTGTCAATTTGTCACCATCGATCCCAATATTTGCTAAGAAGTAAGGACTAGATGTATGTCAATAAAAGAGCAAGTTTTGTAATATAATGATTAAAATACATAAAATAAGCGAATTCGAGTCCTAGTATAAGACACAAATCGAGCCATAAATACGTGTATTACTTTGAACGAGTAAAATATGGCATTCCTTGATTTGCACTTATGCTTCTATCACATAATTCTCTTTAATAATGAGTACAAGATTTAAGAGGAATTAAACACGCACGCCTTTCTTTCAGGGGCATCCCCGGGCTTTACAACTTTGTCAGCAAGTTTACGCGACTGTTTCTCGATTTGTTCCAAATTTCGTTCGATTAATGGTAGATCATGTTTTACAATCGTGTTTGCAACACTCCGAGATCTTTCCACGAGTTGTTTTAGCTGTATATTGTTTGCCATATTTTAAAAAACCAAGAATAATTCAATAACTCCAAATTTCTGACGCATATATCTATAACAGTATGAATAGATAACGATAATTTGAAGAAGTAGCTTAGTGGTGGCGAACAAGAGCTCAATCACGTGATATTTGCACAATAATATTTCAAGATCAGGTGTAACGTAGCACAAACAGGAAAATTCAAAACAAACGTTCGTTTTCCAAAAACCGC